GGGGGGGGGGGGGGGGGGGGGGGAGCGGTGCACACCTCAGCACAGTTAAAAAAAGGAAACTGTTTTGTCTAAAGTTGGTCTCATTTCTAGAACCGAAAATTCTAGTCTTCTTCAACCAAGGATAAAGCCTTGTTTACCACTAACGTGGAGTGACTCTCGGTCGAAAAGATCTATTTTTTTCTTTGTGCAAAACAGATGTAATGTTGTTATTTTGTAGCCTCCCAATGCTTAATAGCGAGTCAATGAGCCCGTGCCTTGGACTCTTTTGTTAACATTTAAAGTGAGCATAAAGAAAGACGTCAAAATATCAAAAGAACTCTGCTTATGACGGGCGTGAAGCCTACAGCTTCATATCATTAAACAAGAAAGGCTTTCTTGTGCGCTGTTGCTCAAAAAGGTTGGCACACCTTTCGACAGTTGTGAATTTTACGTAAATAATAATTAATCTACTATTAACAATAACCTTGGCCCAGACACGAAATGAAATGTAAAGATTTGAAATACAAAAATGTTTTTAAAACTTTTTGAGCAACAGTGTATATTTTAACTTAGACCCGGTCAGTAAAAGGATAAATATGAAATGAAAATAAGATGCAACTGTATGCTAAACAAAACGGCAATAAAAATACATAGACGGAAGATCACAGAAGATCACAAATTTTACTTATGAACATTTTTCTTAGTTACTCATCACAAACCCCTTCACGTCCCCACGCCCTTACACTTTTATCATATAAACTGTACTTTATCCATGCTTTCTCTACATTTAATTTCAATTCACAGTACAGTGTTAGCTCGGAGGGGTGCAGTCTTGGAAAATTCTCGCCCACGACCTTAAAATGGTATTAAAATCATACTCCAAAACTCGTTCCTCGTATCAAAATCGTGACCCATGTTTACGATCAAATCACACAATGCATAGTGCAAAAAAATATGATACTTTCTTTTTTTTTCGATTATTCGTGTTCTGTTGAAGGTGTTGTCAAGCATTGTTCAAGTTCAGACCGCTGTGACAGGAATATTATTTATTCTATACACAGAGTTTACATTTATAACACAAAGAGAGACAAAGACACCTTCCACACACCATTCACACGCTGAGAATAAAAATTCTTGCGAATAATGATGTGAAATACATGTAGAAAATTTAAGAGAATCTTAGTAGGCTATCGCAAATATTCTTTACAGTTTTTTCTTTTGATCAGCTGCCTTTTGAGGACCCAGTAGATATAAGGACCGAATTTTCCTTTTTTTTCCAAATTCTTTTTGCAAGCATCCCAGAGCGGTTTAATTTTATTCTGTCTGCAAAGAGTGAGACATTTCTTAATGTGAAGGAGTAGTAGATTAAGGCCTATGCAAGGGCACAGGAATAACTGTCCTAGGGACGAAATTCTGAGGTCCCGTATGAGAAGTAGGCTACAGGTTAGGGTAAGCCGAAGTATGGGGTTAGTGTTTTGGGGCATGTGAGATCATGTGGGATGGAGAACGTATTGCCATCCGGTCCGCCTTTCGTCCTTTAAAAAATCAAAAGTTGTGGACCGTGCCTCCTCCCCAACACTCTCCCCTTCCCACCCAGTGAAAACCTTAGTCTCGTTCTCCTTTGACAGGAGTTAGCCTACTCATCAAGACACGTTTCCTGGAACAAAAACATATTGATCCTGATACTATTACTGTGGGGATGAAAGGATCAATTGTCAGGGGTTTCATTACAACTCAAAGCAATCTCCGTAAATCTTCCAAAACACCTCGGCAGACTTGGCAATCCACGGATTCAGCGTACGGAGGCTGCTAGGCCTAGTCGTTTCCTTTCCCAGGATCCATGAATAAGAACTCATTCATCATTTTATCATTAGCGTTTATGCCATTTATCACCCTTTGTGTAATTCACATAACCATTTTCGGAGAGCTGAACGTATCCCGCACGCAATGAATATTTGGATTATAGTGATGTGAGTTGTGAGTGTGGCTTTCGCACAAATCCCTTGAACAGGCCTATAAGCCTGCCGAGTGCAAACGACTTGGGGAGGGGGGGGTCTAAGCGTAGGCACTTACACGGTTGGTTACATGCTGTAAATTGGGTTGTTACTCATAATTTCTGGTCCGTTCGTCTTTCCAAATACCTAATGCCAAATACCTCATAACGAAAATTCATCATAATAAAAATAATTTTAAAAAATTGCGTCCATCACTTCAAGAACATTTTAAAAGTATATTTCGTTCATTATTTGTTATTAAATCTTTTTTAAAATATAATTCTTTCAAATTTTGTTGTCAGAAATACTTCTTATTGTTTTGTCAAAACGCATTTATTCGCAGCAAGCGACGATGAATGTGTTGGATGAGCGTTCTCCACAGTCATTCTCAAATTCATGATTGTGTTAGACCAAAATCTGGGCACTTGCTTCCGGTAATGCGCACGCATAGTCTAGCTTCAAAATGGCCGCCACCGCGGACGAAGTACGGATGAATTTAGCTGCTCTGCAGCAACGTGATCCATACATAACGGGCATTATTGATACAGCCAAACAAGTGGCACTGTATTCCTTTAATTCAAAGGATAGCGAATGGGTAAGTTGTGTATAGCTTGGAGCTGCGACTGCGGAGAATAAAAACTCTTTCGTTCTTCCCATTCAACATTATCACTGTAAAAGCTGCATGTGTCTCCTTGTCATGAGTTATGGTGTTTGGGGTGTAGTCTCTGTAAACAGCGCAATGTAATCGATGGATAGGAAAAGTTGAATGCTAGTCGGCTATTGACAGTCGTTTCATTTTACACTCAAGACATACACACGTCACTTAGTTTATTCTTGTCTGCTACTAGTAATTACAGATAAGCTGTGGCACTTACTATGGCGCAGTAGGTACCTCTTTGCTCTTTGTAATACTCAACAAGGTAGACTTCAGTGCATTATATAGGGGGAACAACATGCTGGGTGAGTGGGTATGGAAAGTATCTCACAAATGCAAAAAAAATGCATTTGCACCAGTTAGTAGCAGTCTCATGATGGTTGTTTTTGTATAGAAATGTATCTCACTGAGTTATTTAAACCAGAAAAGAGAGAGAACAGAGTATTGGGGGGAGGGGGGCAGGACTCTGAAGTTGGAAGGAGTGAAATGTGCTACTTTGAACACACAGATGCTTTCATAATAGACTAAATTTTCTGACTCTGGCACTCATATAATTTTTCTGTGTTTACAATAAAATGTCAAGGAGCTAACATGAAAATTCATGCATTAGCTGTGCTAGCGCATGGAAGATGTGGGTGTGGACAAGTGTGAAATACCTTGGTTTATCATCAATGTATGCATGGTAGTAAACCAGGAAACATTTAAAGCTTCCGAAAGCCTATTTTGGCAATCGTAATTATTTTCATATCAATTCTGCATAAACCTATGACACTCAAGCACTTAAGTGAATTAACTGCTGTAAATAAGATTAATTAATTACTCGAGACATATTATAAGGACTACTGTTACTACTAGTACACAAAATTCTCTGCACATTGGTACTCAATGACTGCAGTTCAAGTCTCACGTGAGATATACAAGGCTTTACCCACCTTGGAGAGCAGGACATTGAACCTGTATACATTAACAAATTTTCCTGCAGAATCAATTTTTCTATCTCAAGATAAAGAAACTAGGTACTTTGTGAACTTTTCTCTGTTTTTTGACTGTTTCAATAGATTTACTTAATAATTAGAGGTAGACAGAAGTGTAATGAGTAAATCATGGAAACTAAACTCCCTTGCCTTACCCTCAACCCCATCATCTGCCTTTTGCCTTTCTCTCAATATAGTGCTGTTTATGCCACAGCTTGCTCTTATGTAAACCTGTATTTTCCTTATTTTGCAAACACCTGTGCATTTCTCAACAAGTACAATATCAGTGATTACATCATATTACTGAGCTAATAATGCTACGTAACTCAACCATATTCCACCTTCACTGCAAGCTTGAAACATGCATAGTTGGTTCTCCTTCAAAGATATATTGGTGGGCCCCATTCCTTTCCTACAATAGGAGGAGGATTATGATTTGCCAGTTTCGTATACATAGGCAGAAATTTAGCATTTGTTCTGTACGTGGAAGTCCTTGAAGTAAATGCACAAAAAAGCAAAGGATTAAGGAAATGAAGCTGTTGGTTTATAACATACAATCCTGTACATCACTGCAAAGGACAACACCACATCGATTCCAAACAATCAAGGCTTCGTACATTCAAATGTTGTCTACAGTGAAATTATGCATTTTACAAGATGTTCCAGTACAAGAAATAGCCCTGTTTTGACTGGTATATCTCACTGATGCTCAGAGAACATCTACCACAATCGGGCTAGTGTGATGACCACTGGAAACAACAGTCAACACAATCAGAGGCCTGTCAGTGACATAGGTTACTATAGGCTTCAGAATCACCAGGAAGGTGTCAGGGCACTGCGGTGTTCAAAGTGAATTTCAATATGAGTAAATTTTATTTTATTTCCCCTATCAATGTTTACTAGTTTCCTTCTTTGATCTATTGTTATTTCCATTGTAGAAAATTTGTAGAAATATCCACTTAGTTTATGAGGAATGTGAATTAACCAGAGGAAAACCCGAGTTGGTCCATATTTGATTAAGAAGCCCACATACTTGAGAGAACTATTATCCAAATATCTATAGTGTTAGTGAAGCATAAAAAAACCTTTCCTGAATTATCCCGAAAAGTAAACTCTATGGCTTAGATACTGTCATTAAGTTAGAAGATTTAAATATGAAATAAATTTTTTCCCACTTAAACAAATAGGTCTTGTACATAAAGGAAGCTTTGATGATAAAATCATATCTCTGATTTTATTTAATGAAGAAAAAGAATAAGAGGCCAAGAACAATCAAAATATAGAAAAAAAATGAAGGCGAATGAACTTTTAGGTCTGTAGACTATACTGGGAGTTGGAGCTGGCTTCATGCTTTCTCTTCTTAACTAGTGTGATTTGTCATGCAGTCTGGTGTGCCTAGCACAAGGATGATTACTTTCCTCCTGATTAACTTTCACCAGCCAGGTTCGTGCTGTAAAATTAATGACCCCACTTGGTAACTTCGAGAGAGAGAGAGCGAGAGAGAGAGAGGGAGAGAGAGAGAGAGAGAGAGATGTGATACATTTAAAATAAATTGAATTTGTGTGCATATCCTTAAGTTTCTGTGTTCTTCTGTTCTCTCTCTCTCTCTCTCTCTCTCTGTCTGTCTGTCTGTCTGTCTGTCTTCCCCTACCCTCCCTCTACTACCTACTTTTCTCTTTTTTATTTCCACCCTCCCCTCTGTTTTAAAAGTACTAATTCACAGAATTTATTGCCTGTATTGGTAATGTAATGGGACATAGTTGGTTCTGGGAATAGAGAAAACAAAACTGCACATTAAAACTAATGATGTGTATCAAAGATTCGTAACACTAGAATTTCCCAGCATGGCAATTCTTGAAAGTGAATTGATGTTGTTTTTGTTTATGACATTTAGATTTCATTCTGACATTGATCAATGTTTTATTTATGATTTCAGGAGAAGACAGAAATAGAAGGGACACTCTTTGTTTATCAGAGGTAAATAGCAATGAACATCTTGACAAACAAAATCTACTATTTTAATATTTTATTCAAAGGTAATATTGAATTGACTTTCTGAAGAGCCCACCAACATTACAGCTTGATATTCTTTTTAAGAGTTTTAACATTAAAATGGAAATAAGGAGTAGGGGAACATTCAGTTACTTTGTGGTTTTCTCGTGCAAATATATTAGAAGGTATTAAATAAGCAGAAAAAAAGCAAGGTTTTATATCTAAAGGCAAAACTCTAGCTAAAATAGTTAGTTTGGCTAGAACAAGATACTTATTTTGTTCGTGGAATAATTCCCTTATTGTGGTAAGATATTATGTAACTAAAATTTTTTGATCGATTTTTAGGGGTACAGACTCCCCTGGTAAACCTGGTGTACATTATTTTGTGTGTACGCCAGGTGTGGTATCATAAGTAATTGAGCTAATTTGTTCCACCATAACCTTTCCAATCTATAAGACTGGATTCAGATTAAAACACATTTTACTAGCTGGGCTGGTCCAACTCTGTTAGGGTTTCTCACTCAAGTGCAATCAGTGGAATCAGCTTAAATGTCTGACATGCCTCTTCAAGCAGTGAGGGGGTAATAAACTCTTGTGTGCTGATTAAGCTGATTCCACTCATTCCAAAGATGAAAAAAGAGCTGCTTGGTTATTGTTTTGTAGATGATCAGTTTTCAGTGATTTTTATAGAAATTTAACTTAATCAGATAGGGATTAAATGAAGAAAAAAAAGCTCTTAAAAAGGTGTTATTTTTTGCTATAAAATTGTATTGTGTCTCTTTTTCATCCAGTCACTCTCTCAAGTGACAATATCCCATTTTATCTGATTCTTTTAAGTGAAATTAGGTTATGTTCCCTTGAATTCTCAGGAAATGTCATTGATGTATTAGAATGCCCTTGTTGACAAAAATGACTGATCTCCTGTACTACCAGACAAGAGGTGATGGATTATTGAGAAGCTTTGTTATGTACTATACCACTGTCTGGGCATGCCCTTATATTTGAAAATTTGTCAAGTGTTTTGGTTAATTTACTTAAGCTGGAGAGTTTTTTTTTTTTTTTTTTTTTGCCACTTAGACAGTGGTGGATTTGGTGAACATTATATAAATTAGCTGAGGCTAAAATTGCAATTATCTAGTCTCCATTGTAGCGAACTTGAGTATAGCCATATATTAGGGTGTGTAATATTTTCAAGTAAAATGTTTTCAGATGTCAATTTTTTGTTTTCAACCTAATACAGTTTTTCAGCCCTATAAAACTGCCAACCAGAAGATTTCAAACAAATTTTTTATCTCTTTGCTTATTGATCAGTGCCCTCAACTATTTTTAAATTACATGAGACTTTTGAGTCAATCATTGGGTTTCATCCAAGAAGAATCATCCAAATGAAATGAATTGTTATTTTCATTAAAAACTCATTCTGTTGAACAAGACTGATTTGTTTGCCAGCAACAAACCATAGGTGACTTTTTAAATTGCAGAATCAGGAAGTGTTGGTTATCCTAGGATTGCTAGTAGAACAAGTACTAATGGATCAGGCTTAGAGACTAGTCTCTCCAGGACTCCTTTTTGACCTTTCAGTTCAACCTTTACCTCACACCTAGTCTCCAAGAGAGTTCATACTTAGTGGCAACATTATTAACCTTTAAGACTGAAGTATGTCTGCAGAAGGATTGAATGGACCGTTTGGCGCTGATGCTATGTCTTCAAGACCATGCAGATACCTCCTCTTAACCTTAGTGAACGGAAGCCCTGGTGCGTTGGGTTGGGGGTCAGGTTCCGCTCAAAACATTTCACATGATAATCTGTGGCATACCGTATTTAGTTGATATGATATAGTAATATATCTCCTGTAGTGTGATGTATTCACATATCCATTGTAACTGCATGTTTTTTGTACATTTGATTGTGAAATCCATAAAAAAAATACTTGTTGTCCCCTGGCTGACAATATGACTACCTGAACTTCCGGGACCTGAACATCTTTTTTTTTTTCACCCTGTTTATAGACATATGTTCAACTTACAAGAAAATTGTGCCATAAATGCAAAGTTGTTGAAGTAGGTACCTTTAAAAATAAACAGTCTTTGACCATGAACAGTTTTGAAGGGTAAGAAGCATGGAGTTATCCAACAAGCATAACATTTACCTAAAAGCTCCACTACAGTTTACATCAAAACATTAATTACTGCGAGTGTTTATACATCTCTCCTCTGATGACCAAAACAAGACAGTTTCAGTCCAACAGCTATCTCTCTCTCTCTCTCTCTTTCATTGCTCCTAATGAGGCTCACTCCATAGGATGTAGGATTTTCCTACCAGCCAACTAACATGCTGCTGTGCGTACATACGGACTTTAAAATGTTACTGAAAGTGTACAGCATGCACATTTCCTGGAGTACCCCAACTCTGACAAGACAACGAATTGGACAGTGATTTTCTTTGTTTTAAGATGACTATTTTATCCCCCTTCTTGCCTACAAGGAAAATATGGCAGTGACTCAGGAAAAGTCATAACAAGGTGTCCCATTTGTTTTTTTACTTTGTAGGTAGCTTAAACAAAAATCTAGAAAATAAATTTGGAAAAAAAATTTTTTCCAGTGAAACTAAGACACCATTTAGCTGCTATGTTATTTTTGCTAACTATCTGATGGTAATAGGAATTAGAAGTTTGTGTTAGATGACAGAAAACTCAATACTAATATTCAGTTTTCATTTAAGTATGATAAAAATCCATCAACCATGCTGAATTAAGGTTTGATTGTTGCTCAATCGTAGAGAATCTCGTATAGTGGGATGTTATTAATTCACCTGTCAACAGTGATGAAGACATTTAATTGAAACATGATATTCACTCGCATGCACATTCTACAACTTTATGGACAGAGTAACTTTCTTACTAGCAGTTTTAAAATGCTACTCAAATTATTCAAGAACTTCCCATTCACATCTTACAACTTTTGGGTAGGAAACTTTTTAACTAGCAGTTTTACAATGAGTAGGCAATAGGACTCAAGATGTTTAAGAAGATTCCCCTAGCTAGATCAACAAACATAGACAGGAAGGCAGTGGTGGCTGGCTTCCATTTATAAATTACAGGTGGACGTGGAGGCAAATTGTTTCTAACAGATTATAGGTATATGGCAATGCATCAATTTCTTGATGAAGGAAGCATGACAAGTAAATTACTTAATTGAGGCATTGAAATCTGCTGATGAATATATTTATGTGTTTTGTAATATTTTTATCCTGAGATGAACTTTGATATAATTAATCATTTTAGTGGGATATATGTAGAAATGCCCCTTTGAAGTCTTTTATTATTGTTGGTCATAGAAGGGGGGTTTCCAAAAAATGTTCTGACATGTTTATTAGCAATTATATTAATGGCATTATGTACATGCATTGTTGTGGAAATAAGTAATTACGTAAAAGGTGCCATGTGAAAAGGGCATTTTTATGATTGAAATTATTTTTCATTTCCGCCGTGTAGAAGGCTGACCAGTATCCTGTTACTGTTATCAGTATGTTGCTCCTCAGAGATGAGTTTATATTTAACTAGGTACCTAATAAATCAATGATGGCTGAAACTCACGGGCTGGGTGTTGCAGACAACATGTGAATAGCTTGTACATATATATATCATCCTGTGTACCACTGGCAGACTAATGGCATCAAATGGACCAAATAAACATATATATATATATGTTGTCAGGCCAAGAAAAAATGACTGTGAATTAGTTTTACATTATGGCCATTCAAACTGGCAGTTTTGACTATGAATAAGGCCTGATCGCGGTCCAATCGGAGTTCACTTCTCTAACTACAATATCCTTAAAAATGAATACAGTATTTTTAATGGGACTATTGCTACCAATCTGTTGTCAAGGTGCGCAAATATTTTGGTCTAAAAGTTTAGACCCGTTTTCAGGCTAAAGCTCTGCTCATTTCTGTTCTTATTGCCGTAACTTTTCGACTAGAATATCTTGGTTTGCTCTTTATTCGAGTCATTATCTCTGGGTGTAAACGCGGCAGTCGGCCCTGGTGTGCTTTTCCGATCCAAGTTATCTGCAGGTCAGGACAAATGAGTCAGGAATGGTCTCCGTAGGCATTAGAAATTCAAGAACTGCTGCAACCGAAGCCAGGGGATATGCAAGATGGCCTCTCTGGGGAGAAGGGTGCCATGTGACTTGAGTGATTTGCATGCATTTTCTCTGGCAGCTTCAGAGGCAATTAGTTTTCCAACTTCCAAGAAGATCAATGAGCTGTATACTTTGTAAACTTCCTTGTTGGTAAAAGTGCATTAAAAATGTGTCATTCTCATATTTTTTTCGTTATAATCCATGAAGATATCTTGCTGAATTTGGGGCTTTGACTTTATCTGGTTAATGCTGATGTTGTCAGTTCGTGGCTTGGCTGTGTGTCTGTCTGGCGTCAAGTAGTCTGTGTGTGCCTGTCTATCCTTTTATCTTTCTGACAATCGTCTGTCAGTTTTAAAGCAGGTGTTCATATTGATTGGTAAATAGTGAACAGTTGTCCAGAGTAATTCTTTGCATTATTATTATTATTATTATTATTGTTTTATCATATTATGTTTTTTTCATTCCAAAATTTAAATGATGAATAAAAAAAAAATTAGATTAATTTTATTATGTTTTGCCATTTATATATTGTTTGCTAAAAAGAAGAGGATGTTTGGAATCTGTAGACTCAATCTCTTCCTCCTAAAAAATGTACTGAATCATTTTCACACCTGATTACACAAAAGAAGCTGTTTGGAAGTGCCCTAAACTACTTCACTTTTGAACTCTGTCCTCAGAACCAGAAATTAAGAGCATGAGTTTTGAGAAAATAAACCAATTTTACAGTCTTTTTCATGCTGTCTTGGAACCCCAATCTTCTCAGGAGCTTTATGGGAACCAGCTGTGGCAGCGTTATTTTGGTCCTTATTTGAGGTGATAGTGTTACAGTCCTATGGCTGAGAT